GGGTATGGTGGCACAGGGTATAGTGGCACAAGAGAATTCTGGGGTTTTCTGATGTTCTTTTGGGGGTAGTTTCTACTGGACCAATTCTATACTCTCTCAACCAGACTTATCTTAGAAGCCTGGGGTATCTGGATGACTTGTTAATTACAATACTGCTTAAGCCTTTTAATGAAGTCAGCAAATCAAAGCAAGAGCTCAAATAAAGAGAATGCTCTCCAAAATGTCATAATGAAATTAAGGTAATGAAGCACTTGGAGGACTCTCCTCTCTTCCTTTTGTATAAAACTTATTCCAAAGAAGCTGGGAGAGAAATGGGGCCTGAAAGTAAAGAGGGGAAAAATAAATTGTGTGCCATTAGTTTAATTATAAAAATTCATTACATGAAGCCAAGTAAGACAGAAAATAATGGAACTCTAATGGGTTGGCCGATAACACATTTACTAGCCTGCACTCAGCTTGTAGTCATTGTTGAAAGGACAAAAAAAGTAGCAGCACTGGTATGTAGCCCTCAAAGCTGTTGAAAAGATTAATCATTTCCAGTAAGCTGGAAAATGAGGGCCATTTTCTTAAATAGTATCCTGTATAGAATGTTACCTTGTGAAACAGAATTGTTTGGTAATGTCAAAGGTTTAATAGATGAGTCTTAGAGTTAATTGTGAGAGGCTTTACATTCGAAATAGCTTCCTTGCACATATTTTAACATTTCTATTATAAATCCATAAAGGATTTTATAGGTCATTTTAATTCACAGAGGAAAGGAAGGAATAAATTTTATTTTCCCAATAAAGATTTATAGAACATTAATTCATATTCATAGCTAAATTGTTTAATTTTTAAAGAACCAAAACAAATATATTCTTTTTCTGCTTTCTATGAACATCTTACTGTAGTTTGCACAGTAATTTTCCAATAATGCTATAATCATTGAGAAAGCTGCTTTGTGTTCTTCAAAGTTCAATTGCAACAGATACAATTACTTTCTTTACATTTATTTATATGCAAATATGTGTCATCCATATGGATTGAATCCTAAGAATCCTGATACCTGCACTATGTGATGTCGTTCACTGACTTTACCATCTTGAAAAAGTGTCTTAACTTTCAGAGTTTTGTATTGTTAAGTGAACAATTGTAAAATTGCAATAAGAAAGGAAAGTTAACAAAAGCTAAAAGTAGATACATAGGTATATTAGGAGAGGGAAAGCTTGGATTTGACTCTTTATGAAACAAACATTTTACACTTAGGAGCAGCAAAGTTACCATTTCAATTGTAAAAAAATTATCTCAGGCAATTATGTGTAGATTGGAAAGTCAGTTTGAATATACACAAAGTGAGTCAAATAACTGTTATTGCAAACTGTGAGCGAAAGATGATGAGGACATAAATTAAGGAGAGAGCAATGAAAGTCGAAGTTTCAGGTATAAAGGAACTTCCTGATGTATGTGTCCAATTTGGAGGTAGATGTAGCCCCTTTCTCCTCTGGTTGAGAATCCATTGAAAATCTTAAGGAGTAGACAATTGAATCAGATACAAATGTTATAAATAATAATACTTAAAAGACATGGAATAAAAACACCTTACATTCTATAAGAGAATAGAGAGAGCCAAGAAAAGGAAGAAAAAAAAACCTTCCAAAGAACTAAGAGTAGTCCATAGGACCTTCTGCTGTGCATCAATTAAAAGACAGCTCCTGACTTCCCAAAGGTACAGAACTTTGGTAATACAACCAATTAATTACTTCCCACCAAAGTTTCAGTAACAAACAAGCTTGAAATGCAAATATCCTACAAAATAAGTTTGCATTGCCTGTTCGTGAGGTTACAACTTGAGAGGGGCTTCAGATTTATTTTGGAAGCTTTGCTCCACATGTCATTTGAATATCCTCTCCCTCAACTGGTTGAGGGCAAATCAGTCTTATAGTGATGGGGAAATATATGCACTGAAAACACACTTTAAGCTTCTGGTCCTTCTATTAATGTCTCATTAGAATTAGGCAAAGAAAGTTACAAGGTCAAGATTGGTGTTAAGGCAAGGAGCTAAACTCAGCCTTCTGTAAGAGAAACTTCAGAGTTAGATAGGAGGGGATGGAGTTGTAGGAAGAGATAAATAAATTAGGATAGATCCAGGAAGATGGCTCAGCAGATAACAGTGCTTATCACCAAGCCTGATGAACTAAATTCAGTACACAGCACACAGACAGACAGTTAGATAGATGCAACTTCAAAAGATGAATTTAGGACAATATTCAATGTTGTTGCAGTGATTATCTGTCAGCACAGTTTTGATAGAATGGAGAAGGCAGAATGGTGATGAGTTGGAAGTAAAGGCAATGAGTATTTAATTTCTGCAGAGTATAACTGCAAAGGAAAAGATGATAATCTAGTTCAGAATCTGTTGTTTAAAGATGAGATAGTCACTGTTGCTTGAGGGCTGCAGAGAAGGACCCTGCAGAGCAGGAAGAACTTGGAACACAAAGAGAAAGAGAGTGTGTGGAGGAAGAGCCCAGAATAGATATGACCCCAGGTGCTGAAATTAATGTTCAGGATCAAAATGGTTATCTTCTTCTGAGACTGAACGGATATAAATTCTTATATTTTGTGAAACTGATGCTTGGTGTATTAAAAGACCTCTGTGGAACTATAGGTATGGTCATTTGCTGTGTGATCCTTTTCTATTGATATTGTCAGGATTGAGTCTGGAAACCACAGAAGATATTTCAAACAAAGGGAATATAATTCTGAGAACTGGGGGTATAGCTAGTGAAGAAGCTGAAAAATACAGCAGGAGCTAGGTGACTCCAGATTTAACAACTTCAGGAAGATGATATTACTTTAAAACCTGAAGACTCATGGCTCCCAAGGCCCAGAAACCAAAGCCATCTGATGCTAACTCTAGGAATGGTTCAGCTGCACAGCACATGCCCGAAATTCTTAGAGTGGAGCAACGCAACCTTTCTGCTATTCTGCTTTATTCCAGTGTTTCCTATTGGCCTGATCCAACAAGTCACCAGCTCACAGGAGATACTGGGAAAAGCAGACTTCTTACCAGGGTTACTCCATCTAAATTACTGTGTAGAGTAAGGACAGAGGATAGATCTAAGAGATAATGAGCGCTTGATTGTAAGCTCATAGAACCAAAGATTTCCATGAATACCTTAGCACAAGAAACACACACAGACATGCACACAGTATCCAAACAGAATGGCAAATATCCAACACACAAAAACTTTTTATATTTTTTTATTATATAGAAAAAATAAATAAATAATTCTTAATAAAATACATAAAAAATAAAAATTAGAAAAATAAATTAAATTAAATATATTTTGATCAAAATCTTCCCCTTCCACAAGTCATACTAGATCCTCTCCCATTCCCTACACACCAAAAAATGTTTCTTCCTTTCAGAAGAATTTCTGAAATTTCAGAAATTTCAGAATTTCTATAATTGCTATTTCTTCTTTTCATATTGAGTTTTAAAAATGTATTCTGTTTTGCCATAAGAAAATCATGGTTGTCTTTTGTTTTGTTTTGTTTTTTGTTTGTTTGTTTATTTTCAAGATAGGGTTTCTCTGTGTAGTTATGGTGTCTGTCCTGGATCTCTCTCTGTAGCCCAGGCTGGCCTTGAACTCACAGAGATCAGCCTGGGACTGCCTCCCGAGTGCTGGGATTAAAGGCATGCACCGCCAACGCCTGACTCATGGTTGTCTTTGTTGTTTGTTTAGGTAATGGGGATTGAACCCATGCTTTGTACAAACACTCTACCACCAAGTTACAGCCTCAGACCAATCATGTTCTCTTTACCATGATTAGTGTGCACATTTATTGGTTATTTTCTGATGTCCTCTCAGTAAATATTAAAATCACTCTTTTGATGAAGTATTTTAATCTTACAATACACTTATCTGTTTGAATATTTTATTAGGATAATATATAATAAGTGTTATTATGGAGTCACTTGGAATCTATTGCCCAATTATCAGAATATTGTTTCTAAAACTAGAGTGTAAGAATTGTACTAGTTTCACCCGATATGAATTTTGATTTACTATCATCTAACTGCAATAAATTCTTGATTTAATAGTTATATTACTTGAAAGTTAAGTTTCTCCCTTTTATAAAATTATTTTATTCTGTCTCTTCATGTAATTGCCTGTTCATACATCTCTATTCATGCACAAATAACTTAGCTCTCTACATTGTAGTAAACATAAACGTATTAGCACTTTAATGCTATCTTAACGCATGGATTCGCCTACATGTGGCAGTGTTGGCTTGATGTGCTTCCATATGTACATGACCTTGATTGACTTCTTTCCAGTGAAGAAATGACTAGATGGATTACACTCAGTTATCAAAAACAAACAAAGAATTTTATATCTTAACTTGTATTTGAATATTAAATGCAGTATCTTTAAAGTATTATAATCCTTCAGAAATTGGGTGTTAACAGCACTCTTTTGTTCAGCATTTTCTGTATGCAGAGTTTGTTAAATGCCAGTAGATGGCACTAATTACATAAACAATTCAACAAGTTAATGAAGAGAGGAAACGCATGTTTTTTTTTTGTGGCAGATAAATGTAGATGTCCCAAATGATTTGGCACTGAAACTTCCTCAGGACTATTCTGCAGATGATACCAGAAAAGTACACCTGATTTTGTTATATGTCACATGCTAAGCAATTATAAATGAGTCTTTTATACTTTATTTTCTCTTGTTATAAAGAAAATTAAGCTTATTTTATTCCCAATTTATTGGTACTAAATTGAAGTACCTAAAATGAATTAATGTTTAAGATCCTGCATTTGAAATTTTGCTGTGAAAAGCATGGTAATTTACATTATCATAGAAGACTAACATGTGATGCATTTATAACAATTATGTAGACATGCTGTGACCTGAAGAATCAGTAACTTCATGAAATATTTAAAGATATCTCACCTGGAACCTCACTGGATAAAAAGTGACATTAATTTTATTTCCTGTACACACCTGTAGCAGTTGGCCAAAGACCTCCATCAATGGCAGCTAAATGTAGATGTGGCAAATGATTTGGCACTGAAACTTCTTCGGGACTATTCTGCAGATGATACCAGAAAAGTTCACATGATAACAGAGAATATCAATGCTTCTTGGGGAAACATTCATAAAAGGTAAGAGCTGCTTTATATGTCAAACTATGTGTTATCTATAATGAAGGGGCAGTGACCCCAGATGGACCACACTCTTTTATTAAACTACAGCTTGGGATAATAGGAGATGACAAATGCTAATTCAACTCAAAAACTTGGCTTGCTGTCCTGTTTTAATGAGGAGAAGACTGGAATTTAGTGAAGTGAAATGATTTGCCCCCAATAACAAAGACAATGATGGAGCTAAGCAGTTAGTCAAAAATAAAATTCTAGTGCCTAGGAAGCAGAGAGAGAACAGTGGAAGGGGCCAGGGACAAAATACCACATGAGATCTTATGTTGAGTGAGCTAGTTCCTCTACTTAGGCCCAGGGTTGAAGGCTTCTACCTCCTTCATCTAATGCTAACAAATTTTGAAACAATGAGTGGTTGATCCATTGATGAAATCAGAGCCTCTATAATCTTTATCAGCTCCCAATTACTGGATTCACCAGCTACCAATCAAGACTTGATATGCAAAGCACAACAAAAAGTAACAACTCTTAGAGGTACTACCTCTTCACGTTAGGTCTGATCTTCTCATCAATTATTTTGTGCTTTTCTTACACTGATACGTATTTAAATTATTAATAAAAACATGAATCTCATAATTAATTATTTTGTATTTGTCACACAAATTAGTCTAAAGACCATGAGGGCTAAAATTGTCTCTTTTCTTTGACACAACTGCTCATCCAAAAGTAGATTATATAAGGAGTTGGTAAATATTTGTAGAATCATGATACTTTCTGCATGAAGTTTTACCTTGAGTGTGCTCTTATAGATTAATTATTGTTGGGCGCTTATTTTTTAATTGTGAATGAAAACTTAAGCAAAAAAAATAGCAGGATGACAGAGAAATGTAAATCTCATGAATTACTAGAAAACTCTGTTAGGCATTTTTAATTTGGAGAAAAATGTTACCATGGAGGGGAAAAGTAAAAAGATTTTAAACTGTGAGGCAAAATCTTAGGAGTGATGAGCTATTTATATGCAAACAGAACTAGAGATGGAAAGTGAAAATTCCTGGGGAGCTTGATTTAAGCTGGTGACCATAGAAATAGAGCACTGATTTCCAGAAAGGAGATTCAATCTAAAGTTGAGAAGTTACACTAGAACCCTATCAAAAGGACCCCAGTGAAAAAAGAAGAAGTTTTAATAGAGGGCCGATATTTGGCAAGGTCTAGAGTCAGTCTTTTGCAAGTGCTGATGTGTTAACTGTTTTGTTAACCAGGACATAGTAGGTATGGAAAGAAGTATACAAATGAAACCAATTGGTATTAGAAAGTCAACCATTGGATCTCAGCACAAAAAAAAAAAAAAAAAAAAAAACAAGGCTTCTCAAACAGAAGCTTCTTTGGGAAAGGGAGTTAAGAGCAAGTGTTAATGTAGTGAGTTTATGGAATATAAACTAGTAATGGGCTAAGAGGAAAGCTTGTTCATAATGAAAAAAATAGAGCTTTGGGGGCTAGCCTATTCTATTTACACTGTGATTTCTCACAGATCCTTTTTTTCCATAATGTCATGATCCATAATGATGTAGCTATCTCAGGTCTTTCTTCACCTTAGTTAAGTCTTTGGATTCTTTGGGGAAATGGCTTTTGGTTTATGTTTGTTGGCTTCAGTTCTTAAGAACTACTAACTTTAGAAGGAATAAATTACTTAGCTAATGTGTAAAACAGATTCATTGTTTTATCTCAGTTTATATTCTCAGACCATGCACAATCTACCATTCACCAAGCTAGTTGTGATGCACTCCTTAAGTATCAACCCTGCTTTTGTCTCTAGCTACTTATACTCTTTGTGAAGTGGATCCATGTGTGTTTTCAGTCTGATGATGACTATCAACATTTTCAGCTGAAGAAATTCTTTTTGGATTTGACCTGTATGTCCTACTATTTACTTTTTGTTTTAATTTCCCACAGGAACTAGAAATTGAATAGATCCAAAATTGAACTCGTCTTTGCCCACGGCCAAGCTTTTTCTCCAAATGGAACAATTTTTCCCTATGATTCCTAACCAATGAACCCTGTACCCCATTCAGTTGTTCATTTCGGGAATCTAGAGTCATGCTTGATTCTTCCTGCTGTAAATATCATTGTTAAGCTCTAGGAAAGCTATTTGCTGTCTAAACAGCTTTCAACCCCAGTATCCTTTCTCCATCTCTTCTCTTCTACTATTATATCTTGTTTAAATTATGAAAATGACCATATCACTCACCTAAATTGATTCATTTCTAGTCCTCTTACTTTCTAACCCACTCTCTATGTAGACTCTGGGGTAGTTTTTTCAGACTCATTGAATTTTTGCCTCCCTATTTTAAAGATATTTCTAATTCATTTGTTGCCTTTTTTCCATTCTGAGAATGGAATAAAAATTTGTCCACATGCTAGGCTTGTACACTTCCTATAAGCTATACCCCTCATATTTGTTGGTTTTTAAGCATAGTCTATGCTATGTTGTAAGATTTGACTTGCCTTAAAATTCTAGTCTAATTGATTGCTCTACTTGGCTCCTTCTCCACATGCCCTCACACAATTGATGGTGACCTATTTTCATTTCCTTTTAGCTATGTTTTCTCTTCTCTGGTACCTGCTGACTGGTACACTTTCTTTGTTCTTTGTGTGCTTACATTCTGCTCATTATCCAGGTCTTAGTTTAAATGCTAATTGCTTCAGGAAGTCTTCTATGTCACTCATAAAAATCCCATGCTCTTTTAGTCTTTATCTCATGACACTATGTTTAAGTATTTGCAGATCTTTGCTTTCTGAGAATGTTGACTCTTTATTGAATATACATTAGCTGCTCTCCACCATTATATTACCAAGCACTTAGCTCAGTATACAATAACTATTCCTAAAACCTGCTCTGATTACATAAGTAAGTGGAAAAAACGCTGGTGAGCTCACCAGGTTCTAAATGAGAATGACAAACCTAGGGTCACATAGGTGGGCCTCATTAAATTCACTGGATCTCAAAACAAAACCAAACAAAATAAAGATGGAAAAGGGACTGGTAGGGAGGAGAGATGGTTGATAGAGGAAAAAGGTAGATAAGAGATGTTGTGGAGCCAGAGTATTCAGAACATATCCTATACATGTGTGAAAATAGAAACAAATTAAAGAACAAATTCCAACTACTCCCTTATGAAAGTAACTCAACAATGAAATAAACCATATCTGCTGAGATTATTTTTCAGCTCCAAATAGCAATACATCTATCAGAAGTACATAAAAAAGAGGTCTATTGGTCTTCTATAATGAGGCAGTCAGAAGTAGGCAAGTACTGAAATGGATTCAGTGTCCCAGCAGTATCAACTCAGAAACTTATATATTCTTCCTGGCATTTCCTTAGAAATGCATATTCCAGCAGGAAGAAGAGAGGAGAAAGGATAGTGCTTGCCTCAAGAAAGCAATGATTCTTCAGAAACCTGAGGACTAAAGCTGTGCTATATAATTATGTCCCATGGCTGAGAGGTTGTCCAGTCAATAGAGAATATCTGCCACAGCGAGAATGGAAAGATAAACTAGCAAGTTACATTAGACAACATTAAGTTTCTTGAATAATTACCACTCAAGTAATGGACTGGTGGTATGAGGTTTTAGTGACAAGGGGCCAATTGGGCCTGATGATTGCAGTGGTCATTGTGACAGATTCTGTGATTCTCGGTTGACTCCTAATCCTTCATATTAGAAACCTACACTGTATGTTTGCTATCCTTTGTCCAGACTAAACTGTAGAAACTTTTTTTCTATAATTTCCCTTACTTTGTAATGTTATAGACTTTATTATGAGTAAATAGAAACAAGAACACTCTTCATGAGATCATTTGTATTTTGGACTAGTTGTCTAATAGCTTGCCCAGCTGAACACAAAAATTAAGTAAATTATCGTCCATGTCTGGATTGTCTGATGGGATAGCTACTAGTCATAGATGTGTATTCACATTTAATTATTATTAAACATAACATGAGATTCAATTGGTTCTACTGGCCATCTTCTAAATGCTTAAGAGCCACTCTATGTAATGGCTTCCCAACTGGGCAGTATAAAGCACAACACTTCTATCACCACAGAAATTTCTATTTACAGTCATACTGCAAAATAGCTTTGCTTATATTACCTAAGCAGTTTCAGGTACTTTCCTAATAATTATGTACTATCTTCCCTACAGAAGTGCAACTGCCACATTTGATCAGTAAACAATTACTTTACAATATGTTTTGTAACAACTGCATTTCTGTGGTTCTATTTCTTATTTCATGCATTTTACTCACTTTTCCTGTTGGGTTTGAAATTCTAAACATCTATTACTGCTGCAGGATGGAACTTCTGCTTTTGTTTATCATGTAACTTCATGCTAAACAAGCAAGACTGATAATATAGTATTTGGGTTGTGAAGAAAAATATGCTACATCTTTGAAGAATTTGCTATGGAAAGCATTGTGATTACATCAACTCTCACAATTCAGGTTTAAAACTACGAAAGAACATTAATATATTGCCTACACTGAAACTTCCGATCACATGGATAAATGTTATACAAAATTGTTATGGATTTGGAAGTCAATTTAAAGCAATAAAATCTTCAATTCAGTTTTAAATTCTTGAATGTAAAGTAAGATATATGTTACTTGGAAGAACATTATTTTAATATTATACCTTGGCAGATTTTAGTTTCAAGAAAGAAACAAACACAGGAATAAACTAGTGTTTTCTCTAGAGCCTCAAGTTAGAACACAGATTGCCTATGTAGGGAAATATTTTGTTTTCTTGATCATATTGCATATACAATCCATGGTAACATATAAAGTCAGAGACTTGAACCTCTATAACTTCAAATATTTCCCTCCAAACTCTAGGAATAGATATGTATTTGCGAATAGCATAAAATTAGATGTGATATTTACAAATAACTGTGAGAGGCTGATAAGGATTAGATTTGAGTAGTGCCATCTGGCTGGTGATTTTATGATGATACTGT